TTGTGGTATATTATATATTAGTTTTCATTATGTGCAATATTGTAATTATAATAATTATTAGGACTAAATTTAAGCATGTATTTAATGATTAAATGTATATATTTAAATTTTATTGCATTATTATAATAAAAGAATTGTAATCATTTTTAAATTAATAGTTGATTTGTCTTTCTATCTCATTTTAAATTTAACTAAACTTTGCCAGATAAGTATTTTTATGGTATTTATTATGTTCTCACACTTAACAATAAGCATAATATGAATAGAAATTTGCAATCATTTACTATTGTAGCATTGTTCATATACATTGTATGTATTTGAAACGTATGTTTTTACATTTCAAAAATAAACGTGATTTAACATGCAAACAAAACACGAATACATAATAGATAAAAAACTGATATACAAATATATATTATTTGTAAGTATTAAATTTCGAAGTAATCTTAAAGGCATGATATTTACGAATGAGATTTATATTTATTGTTAAAAAAAAATTGAATAATAGAAACATTAATTACTTTTTAGAGTATAAAATTTTAATCTGTTTTATTTTCTAAATTAATAAATATTTAAAGTCTGAATCTTATTTAAGTAATTGTTTCGTTAAGACATTGATAAAGTTGTAGTGGTTATTGTATTCGTAAAGTTTTTTTAAAACAAAATTTCTAAGTATTATACATTTTAACATTTTATATTGGGTTAAATAATTATAACATAGACACTCCTTATGAGTTGTATATTATGTTCTATCTATGATCTTGAAATTTGGTTTTATTTTTTTTTTTTTTTTACATTAATAATTAGTTCTTTAATTAGTTCCTTGGAATACGTACATCCAAGTGTGGAGTAATAGAAAATAAAGAAGGAGAAATAATTTATGAGAAGGAGCCGGTTGCAGATAGACGGAAAGAATACATAGAAGCACTGTACAATGAAAAAGAACGGGTTGTTACAGATTTAGAAATGACAAATGACAGTGAACAAGATGAAGAGTATGTAAAATATCCGGTATTAAGAGTAGAATTTGACGAAGCATTAAGAGACTTAAAACTAAAGAAAGCAGCGGGAATAGATGAGTTCCAAGCCGAACTTTGGAAGAAAGCAGGAGAAAACATTTTGAATGAATTATGTAAACTCATTAAAGATATTTAAAGAACGGCGGATATACCCACAGACTTTGTAGAGAGTTTAATTATTCACATACCAAAGAAAACATCAGCTTTAAAGTGTGAACAATATCGAACCATCAGCTTGCTATCGCATGCCTCAAAGATTTTTACAAAAATTATGTATAAGAGAATGGAAAGGAAGTTAGAAGAGATATTGGTTATAAGATTAATAATGGAGAAAAGAATACGGAAAGATAAGTCAACGATTATTGCTTTTGTTGATATTGATAAGGCATTCGACAATGTTAACTGGGAAATAATGTTTAAAATAATGAAAAGAGTCGGATATATAATCGTGGAAAGAAAACTGCTTTACCAACTGTATAAAAAATGGGAGATATTCAAAGAGTCCAAAATAAAGAAGGGTGTTAGACAGGGATGTACATTATCACCTTTAATATTTAATGCCTACATTCAAGAGGCTATAGATACTATAAGAGAGAGGATACAGTTAGGAATAAAGGTAAATGGTTATAGAATAGACATGTTGAGATTCGCAGATGACATTGCAATAATAGCGGAGAACGAAAAAAGATCTAAAAAAGATTTTAGAAACATTGGAACAGGTGATGGAAAAAGAATTACATATGAAAATTAACACAAAGAAAACGAAAGTATTAGTTTGTAGTAGATACAACATAAGATCAAGAATAAAATTAAAGGATGGTGAAACTATAGAACAAGTAGAAGACTTCATATATTTGGGTAGCACAATAAACTCAGATGGGAGATCCAAAAAGGAAATTATAAAGAGAATATGCCAAGGTAAAGTGGCATTTAATAAGAAAAGAAATCTTTTTATTTAAAAAAAACATTGATCTTAATATCAGAAAGAATCTGCTAAAAACAAAGTACATCTGGAACATAATGTTATATGGATGTGAAACATGGACTATTGCAAGAGAAGAAATGAGAAGAATAGAATAGAATAGAAGCATTCGAAATGTGATGCTACAGGAGGATGGAAAAGATAAATTGGACCGATAAAGTCACTAATGAAGAAGTTTTAGAAAGGGTATCTGAGAAGAAATCAATGTGAAAGAGTATACAAAAAAGGTAAAATGAATTAATAACACGACGGGCTGCTATTACTAATTTTAGGAGTAATAGATGGAAAAAATCATAGAGGACGACCAAGATTACAATATATAAGTCAGTTATTAGAAGATCAAGGATGTAATTCTTATCAAGAGTTGAAGAGAAAAGCTAGTGATAGAGAATCATGGAAGTTGCTGCAAACCAATCATTAGATTGAATACTGCAAGAGAGAGAGAGAATTAGCGTATTTATTTGTACTTTAGACGATATTAAATATAACACATTTGTACCCATCGTTAGACTATGGTACACCATAATTTCTTATTATTGGTGCTGTATACATGTATTTATTATTTACATTTCTGCATTTCACTATTTACATTACATGTATATTATTATTTGTATACATATTTTATACAATAATTGTTAATTGTGTATTTAATTTATTTCGAGTAAGTACTTACTATTAATACTTATTGAACGTAATTTTTAATGAAGACCATTTATTAAAGATATTTAAAATAAATGACACATTGATTTCTTTGAAATTTTAAACGTTACTGAACTATGGGATGAGAAGCATTGGGCCTAGGTGGATCATTGTAAGTTCTGATATTAATTAGCCTTTCTACCAGGGTTGCTTGTTAGTTCAATCAAAAAAATTAATGCTTTCTAAAAAATCATAATCATATATGAAGACATAAGACGGTTGTTTACATCAATGTTTGCGATCAATGATTTTACGTTATTGAAATTTATTCGTAACATAAATAATCCGTTGATTTTGTTAATTAGTATTTTTGAAAATGCTATTTTTTTTTATAAAATATGATAAATAATTTAAATAAAATGTATTTATTTTCGAAGTATTTATTTAATTTGCATTTATTTTTTTTCTATTTTCTATGTAATATTTGAAATGCCTCGAACGTGTTAAAATATCATAAGATAAATAATTGAATACCTACATATAATCGTACTACATAAATTAAAAATGCAAAAAAAAAATGTAAAATATATTTTTTACTCAGAACAAGTTATGTGATATAAATTTTATGTTGTCTACATTTTAATATTTATAATTATACACATTTTGTATTCAAATTCATACCTTAGTAACTAATAATAATATTAGTAATAATTTATATTATCTGATTAATTTTGGTAAAGTATTTATATACATATAGTATTTGTCGTATAATTAAAATTAAGTTATAATTTTATAGGACTTTTAAATTAATGATTTTATTTTTTCAACTTTTATTCAGAGACTTTCAAACTTAAAATATAGTATTATTATTATATTATTACTGGTTCATTTATTTATTTGTAACGTAAGTAACAAATATGTAATGTATGTTACTTAATTTTAATTTTATTTTCTGATGATATTATATATAGTATATAATATCTATAGGTATTTAAATTTGAGCTAGTCAGGGAGTGAGTATGTAGAATTTTTTTACTGTCGGTTGCGCGTGACTGATAAAACCAGACGAATGCATTGAAAACAAGAACATTTTACATATTATAATATTCCCGTTTTCGAAATCGAACAATGAACACAGAGAAATGTATTTTTCGTAGCTAGACTGTTAAATAGAAAAAACGAATTACTAATAAAAAAAATTAAAAAAAATTCGAGACGGACGTTCCATTTATTCAATTAAGATAATCTCTTATTATATAATTTAATGTACATTTATTATTTGAATAGTAGTTAGGCAACTAGTATATAAATGGCACAGTTTATTAATAAATAATATAATATACGTTATGATAATTTATGTTTGTATGAAATATTGAAATTAACTGTTTGATTTATCTAGAAAAATATTTTGTCTGATGGGTCGGAACGATATATTATATTATATTTAATGTGTCATTTTTTGACGTCATTGCGTATAGTATTATCAATTATGAAAAAAACATTAAAAATCTAGTGAGTACAAGTTATATAACTTGGATGTAAATAATAGTATCATATATTTAGCTACGGGGCAAATTAATTCCCGAAATTAAATTTCGAAAAGTATCTTCATTTTATTTATTTTTTCTATTCCTATATAGTATTTTTTGTTTTTTACGTTGTTAAAAAGTATCTACATAAAAATGTTCTAGATTTGGAACGCTTGTTTTTTGTTAACCGTCTCATTATGTTATTGAATCAATTGTTAACTGCTATATGCGTCTCGCCTTATATTTATATATATATATATATATATATGTCTAAAAAAAAATTAATATTTTATCTATTTATGTTTGAGGTAAGTTTTCAAACTGTATGCGGCATTTAATAAGTATTTAATGAAAATGCTTACGAATGGGCGATTCGTTCATAAATTGTTTGCTATTTGTTGATTAAAATTTTTAGACAATTTTTGGATACGATATTTTAAAGTCAATTATTCGAGAGAATCATTCATTCTAGTCGATCAAAATTAATAAGGAGTATTATAACTTAAAATTGAAAAAAATACGAAATTATGCGTTGTATAATATAATTATAGTTTCATATTATAATCTACTGCACATATAAGTGCCTTATAAAAAATTATAAAATTATTTATACATTGTATAGTGTATACACATAAAACTATCTTCATAACTAGATTGCATACATTTTCTAATAAGGGCGGGCGATTGAAAAAGCTTGAGCTCGAAAGCTTCAAATTACTTAACTCGAAGATGGTGATATAATTTTGGAACATTTTTAAAAAAGACATAATTTGTCTTTTAGACGTCTTGTGTCTGATATTTTATATTATAACGTAATATTTTTTCTTTCAGATTCGACACGGGCAAAGATGGATACTTAGACTTAGGAGAATTGAAGCGTATGATGGAAAAGCTGGGTGTTCCGCAGACTCATTTGGCGCTCAAAGCAATGATCAAAGAGGTAGACGAGGATGGTGACGACAAGATTAGTTTTAGAGAAGTGCGTACATCAACATAATATCTATTAATTATTAACTACAAAAAATTTCTAGGCGCAACTATGGATACTTTTGCAAACCTCATTATTAGACCCACCAGTAATACATGTAATACATGCGCAGCTTAAGTTCGTTATGATTGATACATTTTAATAGTAATCTAACCTGATCACCCGCATGTTATTCTACGCGACTATATAAGAAATCCTGTTTACTCTATTAGACACGTCTATGATGGCAAACAACAATATTTCTGTATAGTTAAAAGAAAACATATTACGTGTATAAAAATATATACAAAGCATTAGGTTAAATTCAAGCCTATACATACTATACCATACTAGTGTACCCATATGAATTTCTCTTTCACGAACAAAATATTTCTATACGTTAATTAATATCGTTTTCTCCGTACAATATTTCCATTATTAATTAATCATTTCAGTTTTTGCTTGAAATAATAAAAATGGAAAAACATATTTTTTGTTCGAAAGTAATAAAATCAAAAGCAAAAATGTTCCAAACACTAATACATAACATTTTCTATACAGAAGCCATATTATTCAATTCTATAAACGTTAACATTTTACGACGTTTACTTTGATAGCATATAATATGATTTATCACATCAACCGTAAGCTGTATACGATGATATATTATTTAATTGTGGGCTTTTGTATGGGTACGTGTTTACCGTGGTATAGTTCGTATATGAAAATCTTAAAAAGTATGCCGCGTTTTTTAATCAATTCTTAAAGGTTGGGTTTATATGTTGGCTAACCTACGTATGAAATATTGAGTCACTGACGGTAAACAGAAACAATGTATATGTTATGATTATGGAATACATTATTAAATAAAATTGGCTTAATATAGGTATTTGTAATACGAAAATATAACAGTGAAACGAGAGAAATATGTCTAAACATTTCTACTTACAGTCTATACCAAAACCTTGTGTTGGTACAAGGGATAGATAAAAATTAATTTAACTTTCGAATGTAAACACTTATACTAAAAGAGAAGTTGTAACGAATTTATTTTCTAAACAATTGTTTTTTTCGTATTGTAGTTTTTGTTGATCTACCGCAAATCATATGATGGTTCGTTACCAGAGGACTGTGGTCTAAATGAGTTGGCTCGATTGACGGAAATAAATGTGGACGAAGTTGGTGTAATCGGCGCTAAAGAATTTTTTGAGGCCAAAGTAATGAAAAAAAAACTTGCAATTGTGTAAATTTTAAACTATTAGGCTAAAACGCTTGTTGGATTTGTTTGCAGATCGAGTATCAAGGCATTGCGAATCGGTTCGAGTATGAACTACGACAAGAGATGGAGGAGAAAAAACGGTTAGAGGACGAAATGTCTAAACGGAAAATCGCGTTTAAAGAAAAGAGTGCTATTTTTCAATGATGTCCCAGAAAAATCACTGCTCCCCGTTTTATTTCCTATTTACCTGCCCTCGTTGCGACAAGTGTTAGAATTTTGTTCGGTACTTATTTTTGATGTACTACAGATTTTACCATAAAAATTATTTTATACTAGTAATTATTTATTATTTAAAATCCATTATTAAACATAATGTACATCAATTGTTTCCCGAACTATACCTGTAGGATAATTGTTAATTTTGTTTTTTTTCTACCATATAATTGTATAATTTTGTTTATTGTAAATGTTTCTACTACCTATACAATTTTTGCCTAACTGAATTTTAATAAAATGTAAAATATGTAAGTATGTTAATTGCATTATTTAAAAATATCATTCAATACTTTTTGTAATAAATAGCACATGAAGCGAAATTTTTGATTTTGGAGTGTGTTATACATACATTCTTATCGCATTAAATATTATATGTAATAATATTTAGTTAAATGAATATTAAGAAAAAAAAAATGTATGGAAGTATTGCATAATGATTGGATTATTACTTACTTAATTATTTATTTACTCATAAGTACCAGATTGTACTGACTTAAATGAATTGATGGCTAAAGTATACTAATAATACTATAACTACTACAGTTATTGTTTTTAAACAACTGTAGATATACCTAAACATATTTTTTATATTGTATTGTTATTTTTATAATAGCGCGGTATAGTAAAATGCATTAATTTTCAAAATCTTAGTTATAAAATTAATTTTAAATAAAAAAAATATTATGATTCAAATTAAAATAAATAAAACGAAGCTTAAAATGTTCATATTAAATTGAAAATTTCAATATCAACTTTAGTAAATGTAACATAATTACTTTTCTTTAACTTGCCTATTTTTTTTTTTTTATTATAAAATGTAAACAAATAAAAAACATGACAAATTTTCATGTATTGTTGATAGTATAATGAAGTATGGTTGAATCATAAACCTATTTTATTTGTTTATATATATATATATATATATATATATATATATATATATAATAAATAATTAAATCTAATAGGTACAATTTTATTTTTTTAAACAAAATTAAATCTTTAATAAAATCAATTATTAATTTTATAAACTTAATATGTTCATTTTTAGGTATACATTCTAAACACAATGATATAATTAAATATTTATTTTAATTTTAATTAAAACATTATTTAAAGAAAATAAATGTATAACTTAACATTTTCGAGGACGTTTGCAATCTGATTCTTCTACTTCGTCCAAAAATTTCAAATCATTTTCATCTAGTTCAACATTATCATCCAAGTAATCAAGAATACTTAATTGATTTGACTTAGCAGAACAATTCTAATAAATAAAATAACATAATAAATATATGTTATTTTGCAAAAAAAAAAAAAATATGCAAAAATAGTTACTATAACTGTGGTGCTGTCATCTTTAAAATTGTCTTTACTAAGACCAGCTTTGTTTAAAACATTCAATTTAGTCTGAATCATTGGCCAAAGACTATCATCAGCAGTATTTTTTGCCAAAAGGTATTGAATAGTCACTGTTTCAGCTTGACCAATACGATGTGCTCGGTCTTCAGCTTGAGTTAAAATCTGAAATGTTAATATTTTAAATAATTTATGAGTTCTGTATGTATGTGACAGTATAATGAATTATTTTTACACCAGGATTCCAATAAAGTTCTGCAAATATAACTAGTTTTGCTGCAGTTAATGTAATACCAGAGTTTGCAGCACAAATTGAAAGAACAGCTACTCTATACCTATCATCATTTTGGAATTGATCACATACAAATTTTCTTTCTTCGGATGATGTTCTTCCATCAATTCGAATATAACTAAAAAAATAAATATATTAATAAAAAAAAAAAAAAAAAAAAATTATCAAACATAAAAAATGAAAGCAAGTGCTTAGAGTTTTACTCACTAAGTTCTATTATTTTCAAGTACTTCACTTATACCATCCATAACTTTCTTATGATGAGCGAATACTAAAAATTTATTTCCTTCTTTCAGTGTATTTAAGATGTAATCACTAAAATGAAATTTTTTTATTAAACTTTTTTAAAATAATAAAAGTATCAAAAGAAAATTTACTCAACAGCAATTTAAATTTTTCATTATAAAAATTCTTTAAATGTAGTTAAGTTATTTCAATAATTAAGATAATATATATTTACACTTTTTTTTTTTAGTAAATCATTATTTTGTATAGACGTTAAAACACAATGAAAAACTTAAATAAAATATTTTCATATAATATTTTTGTGATAGATTTTTAAATTTATTTCTATAATACGATCATACTTTATAAATACACTCCACTTAGTATTATATCTGTATCATTAATCAGTGGGTAAAAAAACAATTGTTTGTACAAAATAATGGTAATTTCTAGTTAAATTATAAAATACAAATGTTAATATTTAAATATTTGTTCAGAAAATTAATCCTATAACTTTTATCTATTCTTTAATCATATAGAGTTGAAACACTTACCAAATTGCAGGTAATTTAGCATCACCAGTTTGTTGGAAATATTGTAACAAAGCTCCACGAACTTCCATTGCTTTTAGAGACTTATCATTCATCATACTTTCTAAATTATCCATATTTTGACTGCGAGATTTAATATTTTCTGCTTTTAGTATCACTGCATTTCTACAATTTATAATTTTATATAAATACTATAGTAAAGTTGAATTAATGATTTATAGACTGGATACCTTTTTTAAATATATATATAAAAAAAAAAAAATACCTAATTTTTTGAGGCAATTGTTTTAATACATCGCTTTTTAGACGACGAATCATAAATTGAGTTTCAAGTATTATTTTCAATTCTTCCATATTTGAAGAACCAGAAAAATCCCATCCGTATATTGTTTCTTGACCATTACAGTAACGTTTACCATATTCAATCCTAAATTAACATTAATTTATAAATTTTGATTAAAAATGATTAACTATTGGTATGGAGTACTTTAATGTACTTTTATTTTATTTGATTTCAGCTTATTTTTTCTTAACACCCAAAATTTTTAAACTAACTAGAAAATAATGTTAAATACAATTAAACTACTTTTTTAAACTTACGGGGTCATAAAATTATTTCGAGTTATTGCTTTGATTTGTGTATAAAGTTCAATTGGCCTTGATAATGCTGGAGTACCACTCAATAAAATACATCGACTACTTTTCATTGCTAGAGAAAGTGCAACTTTTGTTCTGGCTGATTTTTCACTCTTTAAACTATGACTTTCATCCTAAAAAATAAATTGATTACTTAAAGAATATATTTTATTTTAGATATTTTATGTAAATCTCACAAGTATAATAATTCCGAATTTAAAACTTAAAAGCATATCTTTTTTTTTAGTCATCATGTCATATGATGTAATAACCACAGTTGGATCAATAAATTGTTCATTAGATTTAGATAATACATATATTCCAGTTACAGGTATATTTGGCATTTTTAATCGAATTTCTTCTTCCCAAGTGTATCTAATAAAAATTATAGTTATATGTTAAGAATTAATAGATCCATAATAATAACTATAATAACCATAATTTAACAACTAGTGTGACTATTCATGTTCTTACCTCATACTCGAGGGGCAAACTATAAGTAAAGGGAAATCATTTAAGTAATATTTTACAATTCCTATGGCTTGTATGGTCTTTCCTAAGCCCATGTCATCTGCAATAATACAACGACCTTTTTTTGACACTCCAAATCTAAATACAATAAACTTAAAATAATTTCGTATTAGAAAAAATATTAAAAATACTGACTGGATTCCTATTTTTTGAAAGGGAAAAAGCTTCCCAAGCCAATCATTACCAATACAACTCAGGTCTATTTTTGATAAATCTGTTTCAATACGTTCACTAGTTTTGAACATCTGAAAAAAATTTAATATTTATTAATTGAGACAAATAAAATTATACAAAATTAAAAAAAAAATACTTTTAAAATAAAATGTGGTAACTTTTCAATTGTAACATTAGGTTCAAGTGGTTTTATACTTATCATAAGCTGATCATGATCCTTTATGAGGAATGACCATTTTGATACTTCAGGTTCTAAAATATATCAAATATATTTAAAATATTTTTTTTTAATACATTTTATATAAAATTATAACAAAGTTGACTTACTATAATTTTTACTTTGAATTGTTTTAAAAATATCAATTAGTTGTTTATGATAGGCAACATGTACAATGAACCGATCTTTTGATATAAGTTCACATTTACCATGAATCGGTTTAGTATTTAGGTTCTGTGGTGTATTATTGTAATTTATGTGCACAGTTTTTCTAATTGGAGATTGTAAGACCAATCCAGTATTAGATAATGTGCATTGATTATTATTATTTTTGGTTGACACAGGTATACTCTTTTGAGAAAACTTTGCTGCTAATTTTGCTTGTGCAACTTTTTTTTTTTCTTCAATCATTTTACGTTGCTCTTCAGTTAAACTCGACATGATAATTGTTTTTTTCCTAAATTACTACAAATATTGTAACAATTCTGCAAAAACAATGTGATTATATACTATATTATTAAGAAAATTAATTTTAGGATTAATAGAATTAAATTAAGTTTTATTTATCGATTTAAAAGTGTAAAACATTTAAAAAGTTTTAACTTGTTAGGTTAAACGAATCAGATGAATAAAAATAATAAGAGTTAGAACTTAAAATTAAAAATATACACCAACATAATATGATTATTCAGTATTTTCAGTAATCCCGTAATTAAGCAGAAAAATAATAAAAATAACGAATTTCCGTTTTGCAATTACGGGAAATAACATGATTTTCCCTCCAATCAATTGACCATACAACATTATCACGCAAAAGTATCAAGTGATAACCACCACAAAACTTAGAGCGGCTGATAACAATAATGACACCTAATGATAACTGAAATGCTCACCAGTGTTGTCCGAAAGAGAATGTTAGAACGAGATGACACATACAATGGTGTTTCTATCTTTGTCTTGCACATGGCTTTAATATCTTAATAACATATTTTACCACGATATTATTTTAGTTTTGTTCTTAAAAATTAAGGTTTTAATTCATAACTCAAGCATATGAAATAGCAACTTCATTTATAGTAATATAATAATTATTAAAATAAAAAATATAGTGTTTATAATATTATTCATAACAGTGGTGGTTCGTGCTATGGGGCACATGGGCACGTGCCCCACCTACAAAATTGAAAGAAATAAAAAGAATTTAAAATTGAATGGCTATTGGTGTTTATTCTAACTATCATAATATAGTAGGTAATTGGCATAGGCAGTACTACGGGAGAGGCAAGGTAGGCAGCTGCCTCTCCCTGCGAGTTATTATTCTCTCTATACATTTCAAATATTGGTTGGTAACCCCTCATATTACATGCTTATTTAGAGTCTGCATGGTTGTAAGCACGATTAAAGATAACATCTTATCTTTAACCGTGGTTGTAAGTAATAATATTATTACCTACAACCGTGGGAGCCATCCATGTAAATATGCTGATAAAATTTTTTGCGTCAACATTTTCAATATTATTATAATTTATTTTTTATCTTTGACAAATCATTAACCAATATTAGGTATTACTTTATTATTATCTGTATCACAAACGTTTTGTATGATTTTATACTTTGATTTGAAGTGTGTATTTTATTTAGTTTATTTCTTGAGTTTTTTGGATAATATTAATTATAATAAAAGTTATGAACACAAACCAAAGTAAAAAAAATAAAAACATTTTACGACTATTTCATACAAGAATCATCATAGGCGGCTTGCCGGTGTGCCGGGTGTGCATCCTAATGTGAATAATGCGAATAAAAAAATTAAGTAATTACAATTGAGAATATATGTGCATACACATTAATTAAATTTTAGTTTTTTTGTAAGTAATATAGTAAGTGTTCAGAATAAGTCTGAAATAATAATTACGTGTATATTTTACCAATCGTTATTTTACATAATTAACGAAGCCTTTATTTTTAGAATTTAAATCATAACACGGTCTACACGTACGTGTTTATAGCCTCCCCTTAATATTTTGAAAAAATAACCAAAAAATGACACACTCAAATGAAATAAGTTAAAATAGTTATCAATAGATTACTTTTTTTATAATATTGCTAGTCTAAAGATTTAGACAAAATAGTGTTAATATTTTACTTATGTGAAGTCACTTTTGGTATGTTCAAAAATACACATATTTATATATGTATCTAGTCACTTTAGGCATATTGGCACTGCAATATTTAGGCTTCCAATTATTCGTATCAAGAATGTTAAAATTATCGTAGAAATATGTTAGGTATTTGAGCCTCTATTTGATTAATACTTAATATAATACTCGATAAATCAAATACAATACACAACTCAACATTTATGAATGCAAATAAATTATTATTTGTAATTATAAAATAAATAAATAAAATACATAGCGTTAAACGTTATACTTAACTGTAAACGGTGATTAACAACAGGCCTGTACACTGACTATGGAGTTAGTTAAAAAATCCGATAATTCAATTTTTTTAAGTTGGTCATTTTTTTATTAGGTATTGATTATGGATTTAAGAATGAATAAATTTAAAAAAAAATGAGGATGCTTAAATTAAACTAGAGGGGAATTTTTATGGCACCCCCCACTGTAAATTGTCTATAACTCGGGAACGGGGTTGGAACAAACGACGAAATTTTCGGAACAAACAAGAACAAACGAATGCCCCGGATCCGGTTCCAAAATTCAAAGGAGGGGGGGGGGTGCCAGAGAAATGCACATCAATATTGAATGCATTACGTTTAGATTTAATTTCATCAGATATAATTTTGAATTCATTACCTGCATTTTTTTACTATAATTAATAGTCTAAAATTTAGACTATGATTAGGTTAGATCAGTCTCTAGTCAGACTCTAAATAATGATACGTTTACTAGCTTATAACTTCAAAAATATACGCAAAAGGAGGAAGGGAATGTAAGCAGTGATGTAGTGTTAAAAATATAAGTGGATATACGCCAAATTCTGTCAAAAATAAAATAATTTTTTTTTCGCCTTCCACACCCCTCTAAGATTTCTTAAAAATATAATTTCTCAATCATCAATTATGAACTATACAATATTATTTATTTTTAATGTAATATAACTCAGTGTTCTATATTGATTTAGGTAGTTTAAATGTTGTGCTTGATAAAATGTTACAGCCATGTCACACACATTACAACTAACATTTTCATTTTTATTTATAGCAACTATAAATTATAAGATATTGCATGATTATTGCACTTATTGCAAAATTATTTTCAAATGATACTTAATATATGACGAATTAACGAAGATAATACAATACAATTAACTTGAAATACCATTGTAAAATTGTAAATTGACAAATGTTAATATATTTTTAAAATAAATAAAGAAACTAAAGATTGGTTATACGCATGTACACGACCGTGAACCCACGAACTTGGTTTTTTTTATTGGGTACACGCATATTTTGAAAAAATGGAAGTAGGTACACGTCGTGTACCCCCGTGTACCCTCCACTACACCGCTGAGTGTAAGTACCTTTTTTGAAGTAAAACACCTCTGGCTATGCAATGCTTATAAAATGTAATGACGCAGGAATAAAGATTTACCATCTCATAGATAAACCGTAAATTCTGTTTATTTAATATTGAAAACAATGATCTCATATAAATGTCAAGCTTCTATTATATCAGCGGGTTTCAACCTTTTTTTCTTCTGTACTCTTAAGCTTAAAATTTTGCTAGATTGTAACCCTTATTATACCTCTTAACCTTTTTTTCACAAAACTACTCTAAAAATGCTTAAACACAAAAATAACAATACTATAATGTAATAATGTATATTATATTTTATAATAAGACACACTAAATAGATATTAATTATTTTTCTTTTATATAATAAATAATAGAATCGTAATTTAAAAATGTAGAAAGACCTCTGGGGTTATTTCGAAATTAATAATTTTTTATAATCAGGTTCAAATTTTAAATCTGAAGCTGCGTTCAATTTATAACTATACTTAATATTATCTGTATAGTATTCTACAATCTACATTCTATACTTTATTTCTATATGACCTATAAGTTAATGGTTATTTACTGCTGTTTAATTTTTAACGATATACTCGTATATAGCATATTTCCGATATAAATCGATTTAAATAAAACTTAATTTTTTTTTTTTGTCATTACTCAATTTTTTTCATGTATCCCTTGTGATCATATCACGTACCTCAGATTGGTAACCGATAACCTAGATCCGTTTAAGTTTAAGTTTGTTGCATTTAAGTTGTTACGAAATAATATATGTGGTTATGTTGGCGGATCGAACTCGCGGGTCTTACACGTGTATTTATTTACATAAAATTACTAACTAATATTATAACTAACATAGTACTAACGCGCAACGGAGAACGCGCGGTCGGTTAGCGAAATATATCACAATATATAGTCGTATAAAATAGTTTTATGCATTCATATGAATATGTTATATTTAACAAAACAAATAGTAACAGATTTATAAAAAAGTTATTATGGTACGTCACATTATAATCACTTAACATAAAAAAAAAAAGACCGTAAAATGTATAGAAATTTGACAAACAATTTAAAAATATTATCAAAAAAAGAAATAACAAAATGATATATATATATATATAAATTGCTTATACATAAAGTAATAATTTCAATCTTTAACAATATATTTTTTTTTCAAAAGAGTTTAACACAATAAGAAGTATAAATTTGAATAAGTAGAAATTTTTACAAATGGAACAATAATAATTAATAAAATATATAAAATATGAATTTCAAAAAACAATAAAAAAAAAAAAAAAGTAAAAAATAAACATTTTGTTAACAAAAAAAAAAAAAAAAATCAAAAAAACAATAATCATAGTCAATTTTGTTGCAAGTAAGAAGAAATAGTTTTTTTCACGTCATTGATAATAATCAAACAATTAACAGCAACAATGTCTTTATAAATTGATTCATCTGAAACATAAATTAACACTTAAGTTATAGCTTTAAAATAATAAAAAAAATGTTCAATAAATTAGTTTTATCCAAAATAAAAAATAAAAACTTACACATAAGTTTATCGATCGGAAGGAAGGAAAGTAAGGATTGGCCTTGCTTTTCCATAATTTCTGTAATATTAAGATCCTTGATATGTTCTTTTACATTATACAACATGGACATTAAGTCATCTGTACTTTTACCATTAATTTTTGAACAAAACACAAAAGCATGACCCATTTCAACAGGTTTGATCATTCCAGTCTGAAAGAAAATTAAAATTAAAATTTAATACAAAGTACATTGAAAAATAGCAATAGATAATTTTAAAGTTCTAGTTCAAAAATTGTAAATACCTTAAGAAACATATTAACAAGCACATAGAAAACACCAACATTAACTTGAGAAAGTAATGGATATCCAATTAACAAAAAACTGTCAAAAGCTTTAAGTTTTTTTTCAATGATTCTAAAATTAAACTCATAGAGTCAAGCTGTTTTCTACTATTGTTTATACAATCATTGGCATAAATCGATGTTACATCACAAACAATCAATCGACCATGGACCGCTTGTTTTGGAATTTGAAGCCGAAAATATCTGTAATGCATAAAAGAAACAAAATTAAATATTAATTAGTTAATATTAATATTAAATTTATACTTATTATTAAGTTGAAATATAATTTCATTAACATAGATTAAAAAAATTAATAACTTACTCTCTACGATTTATAGAGTCTTCTGTTGGAATAGCAAATAATGATCTTGCTCGATTGTTGT